TATATAGGTATTTTTTGTATTCGATAATATTTTAAGTTATATGAATTAACGTGGGATGTATAACTTTATAAAATAAATGCATTATACATTATAGCTTAGTATTAATGATAAAATAGTGCTTGCAACAAAATATGTACATATGTTACTATAGCCAAAAATTCTACTGCGTTTATAAGAGAAAATAAAAAGATATCGTGATATACATGTTCCAAGATTATTTCTAAGCGTTATGGCCTATAACTTGTGTTTATTTGTACTATGAAATTATCAAATTAAAAATTTAGAAAATCAATTTTTTTATAGTTTCATTGATCCATTCTCTTAGAATTAGATTTTTCAAGTGTTATAAATAAAATTGCATAAACTACACTATTATCTATCCATTTCTCTACAATTTTTACACAATCTAAAATATTAAATAATTGCATAACCTCATATTAAATATTGATATTTAGTGTGTAAATTTAATTACATTCACAATTAATTATATTTTATAATATTTATAAAATTATAACTTCTATATTTTATTTATTTTCATGAAATTGAAATATACTTTCATAAATTCATACACACAAAAATCTGATGTGGTCAACACATAACCGACCGCATTGTATATTGTCTAGTTAAGTGAAAAGGTTACAGAATATTATAAAAATATCTTTTAAATACTTCTTTCCGATTTTTAGGACATTAGTAAGCTTATAGTTAACATACCTAGAAAAATGTAAATTTGGCTCTTAGTAGAGTTTCGCTTTATGCTACCCGAATTTCCAGAAATGCTCGCCAGTTAACCAGAACTCAAATATTAAATTTGAAGAAATTCCATCAATTCGTTCCGTACATATGGTGAAAAATGTAAAATCGGCCCGCAAATCAGTTTTCGAGCCCTGATCTTTCCAAAAAATTTATATGTTCATTGTTTTAATATGAGGAATTCAAGTATTAAATTTCAATGAAATCAGTCAATTATATCCCCTTATATACGCAAAAATGTATATTTGGCCCGTAGTAAACGTCCAGTTGCTGATGCCTGATTTCTACCAAAAGTTAGGAATTTTTGCGGACGGTCGAGAAAAGGTAATATATGAAATTTCAAGTAAATCGGTTGAATACTTTCTTCAAAATGTTCAAAAATGTAAAACAGGCCCGCTAAAAAGGGCAGTTCCCGAGGCCTGATATATCCCAAAAGTTGATCAATCCGTGCCATGGTGGAAATAAACTTACATATAAAATTTCATTATAATCGGTTCAGCAGAACTTGAGATACACGCGTGCACACACAGACCGACAGACCGACAGACCGACAGACCGACAGACCGACAGACCGACAGACCGACAGGTTGCTAAAAATAGTTCATTTACACTTCCCTACTATGGAGAAGTACGTTCCCACCGAAAACTCGATATGCAAAAATTGTTGCCATCACACAACCTACCTATTGTTTACACAATACGGTCGGTAATAATAGCAATCATATGAAATAATGTAAATAATATTTCGTAAATATTATGTTTCATGTATATATACAATATAATAATATGTGTAGGTATATGCACACAATATACATAATACATATTATGAAAATTATGTAAATATTGGTATATAAGCATAGTATTAATTTTTCTTTTGTTTTTTTTTTTTTATTTCGACTTTTCCTCTTATGGTTTTGTATAATAGTTGTGATAATCACATATAAATCTTTTGTGACACTTATAAATCATTTTTAACGGTATTATTAAATTGAAAATGAAAAATGACATATTAAATATTATACGAAAATTGTTTTCTCTTTATACTATTGTGATATTATACTTTATATAATACGCAATATTGTACTTTATATAAATTTTTTTACAACAACGCATATATACATATAGTAATGTATATACATACAATAATATATCATAGAAAAATGAAAATATTATGTAGAATTTACACAAAAATAATATTATCTATAGCAAATATATGAATATTGAGGAGGTAATAATAATAATCTTACATATTATGAAAGAAACAAATAAAAAACACAAATAAGGAGGAAAAAAGAAATTTTAAAGGATGTCTTTTAGGATATTAAGGACATTGATGAATTTATTAGACTTAAAATGATATATGAGTTGACTATATGAAGCAATTATAAGTATATCAGTATGTATATAAATGTATATACGTGCAATATGAATAACAGAATTGTATGTTAACAGAATTTACATATATCTATATATTATTATTATGTTGAATGGAAATACATACAGGCTTAACGGCTAGACGAAGAATATAATTTTTTATTTTACTTCCATGCCTACTCACATAATCTGTATCACATACAAACAAAAATAGACATTCATACATCTTTTTCAATACTCAAGATAATTTTTTTCAAGGTTATCAAAAAGATAATTTTAAAATTGAAAACGCACACATAAACATTTGTATTCACAAATATTGTAATTCATTATACTTACTGTATATGATAAAATTTTAACATTTTTAGATTTTAGACTTTGGAATGATAACTTTGTTTATTTATTTTTTTTTTTATTCATTACGCATTTCCTCATTTTTATTTCTTTTTCAAATCATAAATAAATGCATTATATATAATATGTAAAATGTCATTTTTTTTATTGACAAATCAACATTACTCACAGGAATATGAAACTTTTAAAATAATATAAAAGAGCTTTCAAAGCAAAAAAAAATATAAATTCTATTTTACACAGAAACATAAAAAAGGACATATTCGAATAAATAAATGTAGGTACATAATATGGATACAGGATATACCTATTTATAGATATAATATCTATATATATATATACGCTTATGAATAATACATTATTGTGTTACATTACTCAACTTATAATCTATAAAATCAATGTCAACTTCCATAATCTTTACATAATATGAAAAAGTTATAAAGTACATATTATTTGTAAAAAATTGATATATTCAAAACGAAAATAATATAAAATAAATTCGGCAAAAAACAATGTTTTTAAAGTAGCGCATTTCCAAACCAAATCATTTATTTTAAAAAACAGTTTTTCATTTACATTGTTTTTTTAATATTAAATTAATATGTCATAGTAATTGCATACCTTTAAGATCAGAAAAATATGGAAATAAATTGTTATTCAAATTTCAGAGATTTATGTGCCTAGCTAGATTATTTAAAAAAATTTAATTAACTGTTTCTTATTAGTTATTTGCTTCTATAGAAATTTGTTTAAGCTTGTAGTTTTAATGAAAAATATATTTTAAAAATTTTTAACTTTTTGAGAGGAAAACCTAGAAGAAATCTTTTCCAAATGAAATATTTTGTATAGAATTATTGCGTTTACCTGCAGCTTTTCTAAGCCTTACTAAGTAAAGAAAATCAATTTTAAAACTTCAGTAAAAAAAAGTTTGCGAAATTAAAAAGAATTGTTTTATAGTTTGGACATCAATAATTTATGAAAAAGTGACATTTGCAGGACTATAGGGGTAATAATTATAATAAAGGGAGAGAAGTGTATAAAATTTTTCTTCTTGAGAAAATCGTTTCTCATTTAGAATCACTTTGTAAACAAACAAAGGCAGATAGATGAATGGAATAAAATGAATAAGCAAATTTATTTTTCCAAAATTTTTTTTTAAAACGTACTAAAAGAACAATAAAAATTGTTACATAAAGAATAAAAACACTTTTGATTTATAGTCAACGATAAAATCTGACTTTCAATAAAATTTAAATGTTAAGGTAATCGTAATATTAAATGTAAAAATAAATTTATAACATAATAAATAAAATTTTATACAAGAAAATCTTTTTGCCTATTATCAAAAAGCAATCGCAAGAATATGTTTTTTGTTAATATAGGTACATACATGCATAGGTAAATGATTTCCTTTTAATTTTTACTTTGAAAAACATATTTTTCAACGGAAGTTATTGAATATAAGAAAGTAAATTAAATAAGTAACGATAAATTGATGAAATGAGTTTTTACAAAAAATGTCTATTTTATGTTATTGCGATATTTAAAAATAATATATCGTTCTTGTTAATAATTAAGACAACTATGTTAATAGGGTTCCTCTACACAAGACAGTTTAAAATCTTTTACTTCGGTAAGGTTAGCTTAAAAACCGCTGAATCAAAATGAAAAAAACTGCTCGAAATACAGTCTTGCAACTCTTATTGAAACTTTAAAAATACCCATCTAATATTATAAAACTACAATTTTGGGGAAATCGGAAATGTAATTTTGTAAAGATAATATAAATCTTGTATGTTTGATATAAAATAACATGTTCGATATTTAGTCAACAGTCCGTTTTATACGTGAAAACATTGCAGTTTATTCGAGTGTAATAAAATTGAAATAAACTTTAATGAGTCAAATATAGAAACTTAAGTCTTATAATAATAATACCAACTAAATTTTACTTTTCAAATATAGAAGTCTAATTAAGAAGAGTTTTCAATTTCAACAAAGACTTCTATCTTTGAATTTAAATCTTTTATTGTTCTTAATAATTCTTAGTCTTATTTCAATACCCCAATAGATTTCAATTTACATTATTGTCGTTGGCGTAAGAAATATCTAAAAAATATTTTACCGATTTACTATACCAAAACAAAATACCGAATTTATTTCTCTGAAAACTTTTTGCCTTGGTCCTATGTTTCTTTTGTAGTATTGCAAATGTTTTTAATATTTTTTACCTTGATGTTATTACAAGTTATTTAAAAAAAATCATATTTTTTCATATTTTTTTTCTATAATAAAAGATACCTGAGGCGAATTCAATGCCAAAAAATTCAATTAAATCAATTAAATTAATAATTGTAAAAATTTTCACATCCTTTAAAAGAATTTCATTTTTTTCTCTTTTCTTTTATATTTTAATATAATTTCATTCCATTTACATATTAAAAAAAAGAAAAAAAACGAAACAAATTACATAAAGATTATATTTCCATTATATTATTATTTTCTTATATATTTCCCAGATTTTTAATTCATAAAACGTACAATCTGGTACAGAATTCGAACATCAATTACACCAAAAGCAACCAAAAATAAAAGGAAAAAGCAGAATTGAAAAACACAAAAAAAAAATGTTATAAAATTCGTCCTTGAATAATAGTGAATAATAAGTGAAATAAAATTTGTATTTATCATTTTCATTCAATTCCTTTCCTCCTTCATTATTTCATAATATAATTTTGTACAACATTACTTACTTATTCAACCAAAATTATATTAAAAGTATAAAAAAAATTAATACAATATAAAATATTAAAGAAAAAAAAATAATAAATAAATTTTAAGAATTCCAAAATCAAAAAAGAAAAATCCAAATGGAAATTCAAATAAGATTCGAATTTTTTTTATCAGAAAAAACCATTAAAAGTGTTCCAATTCCCAGTTAATAGATCCAAACATTTTTTTCCTAAAATTTCGAAATAAAATATTAAAGGAACTACAAGCAACATAACATCAATAACATCATCCACATCATCATCGACACAACAACACATATCAACGGAATATCAACGGAAAAGAAAAAAATTAAGAAAGAAAAATCATAACAGCAAACAAAATAAAAGAAAGCAAAAAGAATAATAATAACAAAAAATAATAATAAAAAAAAAAAATAAAAATAGGAAAATTAAAAAAGAAAAAAATTGAAATATTTTGAAAATTAAGTGAAATGAAAAATATAAAAAGAAAAACCATTTTATTAAATAATAGAAAAAATGTCATCAATAATCGATATTTTTTACAAAAATCGATTTATAACAGGACAAAAAATCATATATCACTATTTTATGACTTAACGACTTTTTACTTATGGTGGTTATTTGGTACATGTTTATTGTGCTTTTTAACAAATGATATGAAATCAATTATGGTTAGTGGAGCATATTCAGAGACTGATGAACTTATCAATGAATTGGATAGACCAGGTAAGAATTTAATTTTTTTATTCGACTATTAATAATATTTAACATTTCAATAGTTTGGTAGACAGAAAGTGTAAATAAAAATAATTTAAAATATTCGAAAACACAATCACAGCAAAATATCCATGACAATTAAGCCGTTTTAATCGACATTCGTTACAAACAACTGCAGAGAAGATTTCAAGTTCAGTACTGTCGAAAAAATGTATATACTCTAGGTTCAAAATGTATATGAATACTTAATACACAACTTTTAACATACTTTGTAGGACAAAAACAACCAAAACAAAATTTTGTAAATTCAATGTTCTCGTTTCTACTGCTTAATAAAAACAGTATTTTTACTAGTTTAAATGTATGATACTGTAAAACGTTCGATATACGGTCAATTATATAATAAATTAATATATATATATATATTTTGTCCAATTTTGTCACTAGCTTTCCGTTTAAGTCATACATGACAGTTTTCGAAAATTGTTCAAATTACTGTTTAAAATTCTAACATAACATAAAAAATTCAATTTTTATTAGCTTTTTCAATTTCAACAAGGTTCTCAAAAAAACGTCCCAGGTATTTTATGAAAAGGTGCTTTACAACTCGAATTTGAATTGTGTATAGATGTACAACTTTCTTTTTAAATGTAATGGATAGATAAAATAATGTACATATACATGGATAAAAGTTAAATATTTTACAAATCATTACACTTAAATTTAAATCGGCATTAAATTGAAATAATTATATTTCCATAATAATTGCTTTAATTAATTTCTTACATTAATAAGATCATTTTCTAATAATAATTTAATAAATTTAAAATAATTATGTACTTTCGTCATTTTATTTAGTTACAAATTGTGAGTGTATTATTATGTACAATTATACTCGTATTATATACAAGTCTATTAGGATTATGTAATGTAATACAAGTCTATGCATTTGTAGTACATTTAATTTAATAGACATAAACAAGATTTATAACAAAATTATATTAATATAAAGAATATAATTATAAGACATAGTTTCCAAAAACTTGAATAATTAAATTAAGTATAGAAATAAAGATCAATAAATTTATAAACATTTGTATAAAAATTTAATTTCAATGTTAAGCAATCTATATGGCTATATTTTATCTATTTACTAGCAAGAATTCTTGAAAATCTAATAAAATAAATTGATATTTTTTTAGCACTTTTCCAAAAAATTTTTGAAAAAAGTGCTTATTAATTTCACTCTGTTCGTCCGTCCGTTCGTGGACACTTGTTTTTTGCAAAACTTCTACACTCTTGAAGATAGAAAGCTGAAATTTTGTGTGTACATAAATCTTTACTAGAAACTTATTTCCGTAGAACAAAATTTTTACCTATCTCCTCCCCTCTAGAAGTTATACCCCCCCCCCCCCCAAAACTCTAAAAATGGTCTTATTTAACTATTTGTTGCAATGAAACCATAAGCATTTTTAAAATTTTGCAAACGCAGAAAGGCAGTAGCTTGCTTCCCCTAGCGCGGTATACTATAGTTAAACTTTATAAAAACAAAATGGCCGTTCAAATTTACCGTTATCTAAAGTCTTTTTTTTTCCAAATTTTTGATTTCGTTTTTCTTCTAGACCCCAGCCTGTAGAAGCTTGAAATTTTAAGGGCTTTTAGACATTAACAAGTAGTTCATTTCGTTAGAAGAAAATTTTTTTCCATCTCCACCCCTTCTCAACTTATCGACTCTTGAAATTTGTAAAATTTGAATTTTTGACACCTTATATTTCCGAAACCGCAAGCTTTTTTAAATTTCTATAAACACGAAAAGCTAATGGTAAATTCCATGACATTAAAAAATATAATTACTTTTCTTAACTCACACAATTAAACCTTAAAATCGAGCATTATGTTAACCCCCCTTTATATAAATTTTTGCTTTATTTCAAAGATTGCATAAATCGTTCATCCTAAATATATGCAATCCTAGAAATAGTTTTGTATATGAATGAAAACAATTTTAATAGTGTGATAGATATACATAGAGTGTGTTTAAAAGCAGAATTTTCACTTGTTGAAGGGAAAAGTGTTACAATACAAACCATTGGTTTGACCCAACTTTATTATTTGGTTTAATATTAGTATAACTATTTACAAATGTATAAGTTTCAAAATTTAAAATAATATACGTACAAAACTTTCATTTAATTTATTATTTAGATAAGACATTTCTATTTGTTAAATTTAATGTAAATTCTGAAGAATTATTTTATTATTTTAAATGCGAGGAGCATAATTTTGATCTAGTTTCATTATTGTGTAACAAAGATTGAAGACTTTTTATTCAATCAAATTTATACATATGTAGTTTCGCTTTAAAACTGGTAGAGTTTAGTCCGAATATAACTAAAATATAAAATCAATTTAAATTTTGTATTTATATATTTATTATGCTATCATTATAACAAGCACATTAAAGAAAACTTACAATGTACGAGACATTGTAAACTTCAACTACTTAATAATTATTGTATCATTTAAACTTTACTAATGTTAGAATATCATATTGTAAATTCAATGCGATATTACTCAATATAGGAGAAATATTCAAATTATAAATTTTACTAATACAACATTATAGTTGAGGAATTAATAAGAATGTGCTTATTACACTACTAATTCCAATTAATTCATAAAAAAATTTCCATTAAGAAATATTCAAAATTTTTAACAATTATTCTTCTACAAAGAAATATAGGTATTTATAGAAGAACAATAATTCGCTCTAGAACAAACTAATTGATCTTAATGATACTTTAACTCGATTTCATATGCATAGGCAAAAAATATGCATAGGCAACTTTTGTTAATTGTTATATTTTGAACAGATGTCCAAATAGTGAAAAGAAATAAATTTTTGAAATTGTAATGAAAATTAAATTAAAAACCAACTGATTTTAAAACTCAAACCTTTGAAATTTTAAAACTTAATCGTTTCCCACAAATTAAACACAAAAACTAAATGATGAACGTAACTGTAATTTTATTATGAACGTGCTATACAGAAGTAAAGACTTTCATTTCAATTTCATTAAATTTTTTTAACAATTTAATCATTCAATTTGAAAACTTTTCAGAAGAAAAAGCCTATGTTACAGTTAAATTTGTTATTCATTACAAATTTTCATTTATGTACACACAACAATATTTTGATCCTATTTCAAATGTGAATAAATTTCCAATTATTTTTCTTATTATTGCAAAATAATTTTCATGGTCAAAGTTTATATCCTGTTTTATGAGCTTTTCTATATGATTACAAATTGCCTTTATGTTTATTTTTGGTAAAGCACATGTACATATAATATAAAGTATGCTATTAATATTGATATGTCATATGTAGGTACAACAAAATGTGTAATAACATTATACAACAAAATATGTCCAGAAGTATGTATAGAGATATGTGTATATGAGCAATTACAAAAATTATGATTCCCAGAAAACTTGTATTGATTATTTTTCATTAAATTTGACAAAGATACAGGTAGCAAAAAAAATAATTGGTTTTTGATCCATAATGTATTGTTATTAATTTCTCAATTAAATAATATAGTGAGTGTATTTTATTTTGTGCACCTGGGAAGAACATAGGGCTGGTACACGATATTGTAGATAACCATGAACACCAGTTTCTTACGTCATGGACTTTACCAGGTAGATGACGGCCCTACCGTAATAGTCAGTGTATAAGCAAGGGTAAATGACATTGGCGATTTTTAAATTTAACTTTTATGGAAATTTGTTGATATTTGCTTGAATAACTATTGAAATATATTTCATGAGTTGTGTAATTAAAGATTGATACAATCTCAATATTATAATTTTAAAGCTGTCTAATATTTTGAACTCAGATGACCCAAAAAAATAAAATGAAAACCTGCTGGTATTATCTATATATTATGTAATTGTAACCTATACTAATAATGAAGTAGATTAGCGAAGTTCTAATTTAATATAAATTAGGAATACACCTACAATATTCTCTACAAAATCAAGCAATATTGTCGTAATAAATTTGTTTTATTTTTTTTGTTTTATCATTCTTTTTTGTTTTTAAATAAATCAGTATGGAATAAATAATACGAAATAAAAAATCCAACTTTTCTAAACTTTTTATTTTGTTTGTTCCAAACTTTTATTTTTTTTTCACCTTAATTTATGCAATTTTGAATAGAAATTTCAAACTGAACTAAACGCTGTCTGTCGCCAAACAAAATTATTTAATAATTTTAAGAAGTAAGTCGCAAATTCAAGTAAAATTTATGTAAGTACGAATATACAAAACAATTAAATAATTTTTAATAAATCTTTGTAATATTAAAATTAATTTTAAAGTGTATGAATTTATGAATGGACAGTAAACTTTTAATTTTTAAGTATTAGTAGGTATTGCATAACTTTTACAAATTTATAAGCTATAAACAGCTCACATATAAATTTCACGTTAAATTCCCGAACCTGTCGGTAATTTCCGATTTTAATCGAGTTAACATAAGTCTATCATAAAACAATGTTGAAGTTTTAGAAGGTTCAGGTTGAAATCAAAGCATAATACATAAATCACTACATCCGAAAAATTTTTATTACATTTGCAGATAGTGTATCTATTTCACAACTTCCAAGAATTCATTTGAAATCACAACAATGTTTCGGAATATTTTAATAAGAAGGCAATAAAAATCTCAAGTAATCGGCCGCTACATTTTTTGAATGACGTGTTTCTCGTTCAAAGTGGTTTGGCGTTGCAATACATCCGTTTCGTTATTTCGTTCAAGACTCTTGCAGAAAAGTACCCAAATTGTATACCCTAAGGAAATTCTAGATTGAGAGAAAAGTTACCACTTTAAAAGAAAAAATTCTACAAGTCTTTTTTCAAATTTCCTTCTTCAGTATTTTTGACAGTTCGATTCGCGTTATTTTGATTTACAATTAATTCAACAAACAACCATTTTTTTTTGTTTTCTTTCTCTGTAGCTTTTTTCTAAACAAAAGTTAAATAAAAAGCGAAAAATTAAAAGGACGAAAAAGGAAATAATTCACAAAAAGCCAAACTTTTCCATTACATAAAAACTGTTCGAGTATAAAAATGTTATTCAGGCACCACATACATGCTCATATGTACGTACAAAAATGTGACATATGTAATGGGAATGCCGCTTTTGTATGTTGTGTTCATTCTTTTATTTTTTATTTATTTACTTTTTTTTTTATCTTTTTGGCATGAAAAAATAACTTTTTATACTTGTTTGTTTCATTTTTTCGCACGCAATATTAAAAAAGTTCTTCCGAAAGTTTGTCTTATTATTATTTTTTTTATGTGTTTGTTTTACTTTGTTTTTTTTTTTTACCTTTACCACAACCATTTTCAATAAACAATTATTATTTCGGCACCAACAACTTCACTAACAAAACAAAAAAGCACAAAATAAAAATATAAAATGAATGTTCGGTAAGGAATTTTTTTTTGGTATTTTTTGTGGTTTTTGGACTAATGGATAAGCCTAATTG